TCAAAGATCTTTCAAACGTCTTTCTAAGACTCTCAAAGATCTTTCAAAGACTTTCCAAGGCCTTTCAAAGACTTTAGAAGACTTTGTAAAAATGCTTCAAAGATCTTTCAAAGGCTTTCGAACACTTTGAAAGACCTTTGAAAGACTTTCCAAGACCTTTCAAAAACTTTCCAAGACCTTTCAAAGACTTTGAAAAAATGCTTCAAAGATCTATCAAAGGTCTTTCTAAGACTTTCTAAGACCTTTCAAAGACTTTAGAAGACTTTGAAAAATGCTTCAACGATCTTTCAAAGGTCTTTCTAAGACTTTCAAAGATCTTTCAAAAGTCTTTCTAAGACTCTCCAATATCTATCTAAGACTTTCCAAGTCCTTTCAAAGACTTTAGAAGACTTTGAAAAAATGCTTCAAACATCTTTCAAAGATCTTTCTAAGACTTTCCAAGACCTTTAAAAGACTTTGAAAAAATACTTCAAAGATCTTTCAAAGGATTTCGAAACTTTCAGAGACCTTTCAAAGACTTTCCAAGACCTTTCCAAGACTTTAGAAGACTTTCAAAAATTGCTTCAACTATCTTTCAAAGGTCTTTCTAAGACTTTCAAAGATCTTTCAAAGATCTTTCCAAGACTTTCAAAGATCTTTCCAAGACTTTCAAAGATCTTTCAAAGGTCTTTCTAAGACTCTCAAAGACCTTTCTAAGACTTTTCAAGACCTTTCAAAGAGTTTCGAAGAGTCTGAAAGGTCTTTGAAAAAAATTCAAAAACTTTCAAAAATGTTTGAAAGATCTTTCAGAGACTTACAAGGATCTTTCAACAAATCTTTCAAAGACTTCCAAAGGCTTTCAAAGGTCCTTCAAACATTTTTCAAAGATTTTCAAGGACTTTCAAGCACCTTTGTAAGATCTTTGGAAGATGTTTCAAAGATATTTCAAACATCGCCGAAAGATCTTTCAAAGACTTTCAAAGCTCTCTGAAAAAACTTTCAAGAACCATTGAAAGGTCTTTCAAACATCTTTCCAAGATTTTCAAATATATTTCAAAGAGTTCCAAAGACTTTTCAAAGTCTTTCGGAGACTTTGAAAGATCGTTCAAACATCTTTCTAAGATCTTTGAAAGGCTTTGAAAGATCTATGAGGATCTTTCAAGCGTCTTTCTAAGCTTCTGAAAGGGCTTCAAACATCTTTGTAATATTTCTCAAAAACTAGGATGTGGTTGTGTGGGTGTGGATTTGGGTGTGAGTGTATTTAAGAGTTTCTCTACATTCACACTCCCACTCACACCAACACCCACCGACACACCTACACCAAACAAATGTTGTGCCTAACGAAGAAAACTAATGATCTGAATATAAATGTGAACCACTTTTTGGAGACGTCATTGATTCCCAGGAGGGTCTGGATGTGGGTGTGGGTTTGGGTGTAGATACCAGTTTGGTTGTCGATGGATGTGTGGACGTAGATATAGTCTTCACTGGCAACCATACTCACAGCTACATCCAAACCCATCCAAACCCATCCAAACCCATATGCACTCCACCCACGCCCACACGCATCTTACCCTCTTCAGAAAGTACAAAGTATCCAAGTGAGGCATTTCAATTTCATTTCTCATGAGGATATACATTCGATTTGAAATACTTCCTAATTCCTATGCGTAATGTATGAGGATAGAGATGTCATACTCCGCAGCGATTACCATTTTGGAACGCAC